TGTATATGTATAAATGAGAAGAATCTAACCAAAACACTGTATTGCTTAATTTCAATATATTATAAATGTTGAAAGTACCAAAGTAAAAAATACATATGAAACTTCCAATTAAAGATTTATATATTAGAGACTATACCTTTAAATATACTTTTATATTTCAGAAGTGAGGAAAAATTACAAGCAACTATTTGATACTACTGTGATCTGGGAAAAAAATTTCCTGATCTTATTAGGTATACCACCCTTTCCAAGTATTTATATGTTGATTAGAAAAACATTAGTGACTAGAAAAGTATTTAAAATAATGCCCTTATAAGAATATGTTTTTCTTTTACCATATATAATTTAACTCTAATTGAAATATATTCCTATAATGCCACCTTACTGTCCACTCTGTAGGAATATTTTAAAGAATTGTAAGTAGTTCAATAACAAATATCCTTTGGATGGGATCCAAGGTGAATAATAAATATAAATTATGTTGATACTATCTAATGTTATGCTTCAAATTTTCCTTTTGTGGGAGTCAAAAGTTATTCTATGTATTTGAAAACACAGTATTAAAATATGAGAAAGCTTGTGTTATAAACCAAAGAAAATTCATTATTGGCATGCTTGTTCTCTTCCCCCAATTTAATATAAGAGACTACTAAAAGGGGATATAAGAAAATTCTTCCTCATGACATATAACATAGATCCTTGCATTATAAATAGATGTTATATTCAAAGTCAAATTTAATTAAAATGAAAAACTGATGAAAAAGTCAACCTCCAAAGGTCTTGCCAAGAATGTGAGATTCAGTAATTATTTTAATCAACAAATATATATTATATATTAAGTTCCTTTTATGTGACAAGAACTGTGCTAGGTACTATAGTTACAATGGTAAATAAGTTAGATTTAGATCCTCTCTATGGAGCATATAGTCTAGGGGAATAGAAAAGCAAGAAACAAAAGAAAAAGATAATTACAGATGATGATAAATATAAATAAACAGGTTGCTGAGGAGAGACAAAGGGAAGGAAAGCCCAACTTTGGAAAGAGTCATTAAGTAAGGCATTCTCAAGTGTTTAACCTGATACCTTAGCCCACATAAGTCCGATCACACAAGGATCTGTAGGCCACAGAACATTAATAACAATAATGAACACTTATTGAGTGGCAGGCATAGTAATAGCTTTACATGAATCATCTTCTTAACTTTGCCGCTACATATTATTCTCCAGAGAGATTAAGCAACTTGTCCAAGATAGACACAGCTAGAGTAGAGAAACCAGGATCTGACTCCAGGAAACATGACAGCCATAGGGCCTTCTGGCTAATGTAATAAGAAATCATTTCAATGTTTTAAGTGGGAGTTGACATAATCTCTTTTATTTTTAAGATCAGCTGGAAGCTAGATGGCTACTAAATGCGGGCAAACTGGAAGGTCAGGAGGCCAACAGGTGAGCCTTAGACAACAGATAAAAGAGGTCTAGATGAGCATAAGAGCCGTGGAGATAAAGGTAAATAAATAGATTCAAAATAGATTTGGAGGTAGGATCAGTAAGACTTGCTTATGGATTAATTACAGGGAATGAGGGAGAAAGAGGAACCAGGTATGATTTTTAGATTCTCCATTAATCAATTACGTAGGTAGGCAGTGATACCATTTGCTAAGAAGGGGTGAACAAAATTACAGGGAAAAAAAAATCAGTATATCTGAACTATCTAGCTAGAGGTTTAAATGTGGTATCATGGTCATATGGATGGTATTTCAAGTCAGGGGAATGGATGAAACTCCAGGAAGAGAGCATAGAGAGAAAAATGAACAGAGAAAAAAAAAGCAGAAAATGCAGGACTGAGCCCAGAGAATATGAACAGTCAGATGTTGTTAAGTGGAAA